TTTCCTCAAGATCTAATGTTGCCATTTCTATTTTACAACACACTCCGCCTGCAGGATTTACGTCATTGTTTCTAAAAGTTATTCAATTCAATTATGAGGTTATATTTTCAATTTCAACGCTCAGATAAAAAAATGCAAATACCAAAAATCTAAAGATATTAATCTATATGAGGTGCAAATAACTCATGTGTTTTCATACGATTCAAGATTTCATACCACTGAAAGATGTTAATGGGGGACTAACACACAAATGCCTGGCGGGTCATCTATAAATTTCCCCTTTTAAATATTTAAAAGCACATGAATAAAGAGCTGTTGCTTGCATTATGGTAATTCCAGTGGTAAACATTTTTTATATTTTCCCAATCAGTTGTTCGTGCCAACAAAGGGGACGTCTCTGGTTTAGATACAATGATGCATGTGCGTATTTTTTTTTTCATACATGTTCAGAGTCAAACTCCTAAATCAATGAGGACCATTCTTCTCTTGTGTGAAGTTAGACTGTCACAGACCATCCCTCGGAGTCTTCCTCAGCGTGCCACGCCTTCTCTCTTTGCTCTCTCAGGTCGGTGTGACCTTCATCTCCAGCTGCTGCCAGTGCACTGACCCTTCATGCATCTGTCGCCCGCCAGTCCTGGCTGAGGCTCACATTCAGCACTACATAATTAATCGCCCAGCGTGCATACAAAAAAAGAAATAAACAACAAGAAGAAGGCCAATACTTGACTGCAACTAGCTAATTAACATAAACCAGCTGGATGTCCTATTAGCTGTAAAGCAGAGGTGATAATTAAAAATGATCTTGGCAGGAGTAAATTGGTCAGTTTGAGGATTAACTATGAAATGACACTCCGGTGCTTTAGCTAGGATTAAATGGCACTCAACATGGAGCAACTCTCAGTTATGAACAAAAAGTGCGCTAAAAATGCATTACAGGTGGAATAAGTGGCTCCACACAGTTTCCATTATTCCTCGGCTCCTCATAGGCCGAGTCCATTTAACCAAAATCACTGTGACAAACACATATCACTACCAAATCCTGCACAGCAACCCTCAATTTGCGCAAGCACAAAGCGCAGACTCATCTTCGACGTGTTAAAACTCAGAGATCTTTGAATCGTCTTTAAATCATAAAGCAAAAAGAGCGGAGTAAACATCAGCCCATCACATTACACTGATTGAAGCAGGCACGACCAACTTCCCTATGAAGTGCTCAAATGGATAGCGTTTTGATAGAGATACGTGCCAGCCTCATTTACCAAAGCAAAAAATAAATTAGATTCCCCGCTCTCTTTTCTGCTGCCAATACGAGCCTCGAGAAGAAAGCGTCCGACTGAGATTTCCCAGGATAGGAATCAAGGTGACCCCTCATTCTCATCGCTGCCGATTCGTTTTCAGATACCCGCTTCTGTGGCGTCTGGCTGAAACGAAGTGAACATTTGCCACTGGGCCGAGCTGGTTGACATGCCTCCAGTGAGCAGGTAGCATGAAGGTAGCCTGTCAGTTCAGCCGCCATGGGGAAGTGGGTGAGGAGACCGAGGCAGATATCTGTATTGTGTATCCATCACTAGTGTTCCGTCCTCGGCTATGCAACCTCACGCCTGCTGACAGCCAACACCTCACAACATGCCTTTTGAACAGCAACGGAGATCATGTTTTCCTCTGGGCTGATGTTTTATTTCAACCTCTCTGAACCTCACATCACGTCAACCGTCCCTCTCTCGACTCTCTTTTTGAATTTCTTTTTTTTTTTTAGGATGTCTTATTCCTCGTGCAGAATAGCCTGCCCACAACCTCTCAACCGAGCAATTAAGGCGGCTCCCGCCCCACGTGAATCATTTATCTCTTTCAGGAGCGTGAGCATGTTTACAATATTCATCATGTTCCTCTTACTCATGCTCCCAGCACAGTGTAGGGAAGAGTCACCGTGGTTAAAAGGTAGAAGGGAGGGCAGCAGCGCGGGGGGGAAAAAACCCCAGCATGAGTTGGCGGGTCGGTGCGGAGAAGAAGGTAAGCCACGACGGGTTGAGTGCACGGTGTGGTCGGTCATGGACATGAGATGAAAGACGGTGTGGGTTGAGAAGTTGTCAAGGTTCTTTCTACGAGGTAAAAGTGCACCCCGCTGAGCTGAAACTTGACCATAAAACCTGCCGCTGAAGGGCCTGTGTTGGAAACCTATGGACGGACCAGGTTAAACTCTGGATTGCAGTGACTCTAAAGTGGATTGGTTGCCATCTTCTTCAACAGAGCCCATCCTCGTAGCCTGCTGCTGGGGGAGCAAAGCATGCAAATTAGCATGATCACACCTAGTAGGTCTGTCATACGTCGGCTTTGTTATCTCGGATCTCAAGCACACGGAAGGGGAGAAGTGTTGAGTGGCGAGGGTTTGCCGTGTGAAGTACAAACAAAGCTGTATCAGAGGAAGATAGCGGGGCAAAGAGAGGAACGCTGTTGGGGGGATAGTTTAGGACAAGGTTGGGAAGTCCAAGGGCAAAGGGTGGCAGCCGCAAAAAAAACCCAGTGGAAACCAGATCAGAAATCCACCTCACCATGACGTCCCTTCATCATGGGATAATCCTCAAGACGTGAAAAGACAAGCCTATCTCCAATCTGAAGGAAATCTCTATTCCCCAGATTATTCAGCCGTCTAATACCAGGCTCGACACGCCCTTCACGCATCTGCCCACACCCCCCTTAAGTCTTTGTGTACTTTAGATAAGTAAGAGGAACAAGGTGATGCATATGGCTCTTTCTCATGAGCGCCGCACCTATTTTATGAGTTTACAAAGTCCATGCCAGAGGGAGAATGTTGGTCAAACCGTGCCCGACAGTAAGCTTTTCAAAGCAAAAGCAGGTCTAACAAACACTGCAATATGATAATGATTTAGATTACATCGTGTTCTTAAATAGGGCCAAGACATAAGAAGATTAACTAGCAATTTCAAAGAACCACGTGTGGTGAACCAACGGCATTATGCGCCATTATTGTTACTGTTCATGTATCAGTACTTTTAGTGCCGTTTCTCTGTTTGCAAGCTGCAGACGGGAAGCATTGGATTGCTTGTTGCTTGCAAGGATTATGGTTTAATTTTCAAAATGAAATTGACAGAATTCAGTAATCCAATGCAAAGCAAACAAAAGAGACTGGGGATGAGTTCAAATTCATTTGACCTCAAAAATATTACAGCGCTCTCTGAAATGCGGCACATGCTTCCAGGACACGACATGCTTTAAACTGTCAAACACCAAAAAAAAGGAGGACAGGATGAACTTTGGCTCACCCAAAACATGTAGCAGCTTAACAGCCGAGTGCTCGCTACCTCCGTTTCTCAGTTGGTCAGAGGCTATTTTACTGGATCCAAAAATACTCCAAGTGGATCTCACCACAAAGTTTCATTTCCAGAGCCAGCGGCCTATTACCAAAAAAAAAAGAAAAAAGCAGGGATTCATGGAAATGCCTGCTTTGTTGTTCACTTTGTCGGTTTCCCTTGTATTACAGAGTCAGAGTTTGCGTTCTGCTTTTTGGATTGTTTCGCAGAATCCTGAAATACAAACATGACCTGCATGACAAACGTCTCCTATTCCCGTGCCCTGAAAAGAGCTTCTATGATGAAGAAGCGTGGTACGCTTGTCTTCTTCACCCTTGCGGGGAGAGCAGGAGAAAACATTTATCACCACTCTCTTCTGCACAGATAAGGTGTCTCTATTTATTCAGAGTGGAGTAGATAAACCCTGAATGAAGCACTGTGGGGCAGAGAGAGAGAGAGAGAGAGAGAGAGAGAGAGAGAGAGAGAGAGAGA